CCCTACCTCACCTCAGCGGTGCCATGGCTTGCATCCAGCAGCACTTGAATGACGTCAGCAGCACCGTCACCACCACTCGTGTCCACTGCATGTGCCGTGCTCCCTCTTGTCTGCGCTGCAGCAGCAGAGCCAGCAGCGCTGCCCACTCCGCTGTTCCCATCCATGTCTCTGCAGCCCCGCTCCCCACCGCCCTGCCACCCCAGCCTCTCGCCCTCTGCCTGCTGCTGCTGCGCTGCGCCGAAGCTGAAGGCATGCATCCACGTGTCGGCGCGCAACTGGTCCACCCACTCCTGGCCCCAGCTGACCTGCCGGGTAAGAGGGGGACCATGGACAGCGCGGATGAAGGGAAGGAAACGGGAGCGGGATGCAGGGAGGGCAATGGGGATGCAAGGAGGGCAATGGGGATGCAGGGAGGGCAATGGGGATGCAGGGAGGGCAATGGGGATGCAGGGAGGTATGAGGGAGAGAGAGGGCATATGGGTGAGGTGGGGAGCGGGTTGGCGGGTGTGGTTTCAGGGATGAGAGACGAAATACTCAAGGGCCATCCATCTGCACGGCACGCAGATGATGCTTCGCTGGGTGGCATACGCTGGCCACTGATTCGTGCAGAGCCCCTCACCCTCTCACGCAGGAAGAGCCCCCCCATGCTCGTCAGGTGCACCGCGCTGCCCCGCACTCGCACGCGCACGCCCTCCCTCGCCACGCGCACAGGGCCAGGGGAGGAGGCGGATGTGGCGGTGGCGGGGGCAGACGAGGATGGGGACGGGGGTGAGGCGGGTGCAGCGATGGCGAGATGAGGCACATGCAGCGAGATGAGGCTGCGGCCTGGCAGGGGGAGGGGGCGGAGGACGGAGGGCAGAGGAGGGGGTGGGAGGAGGGAGGGGGATGGAGGCAGTGAGAGGCAGACGCCAGTGCGATTTGCAGGCGTAGTGGACGGGGCGATGGGACGGCGAGCAGGCAGAATGTGGCACAACGGGTGCGATGGAAGGGTGGTTGTGAGCGCGAGACGATCATGGCTGGGAGGATTAATGGGGATGGTGAATGGTGAGGGCAAGGGGGCATGGCGGATGATTGCACAGCAGCACAAGCAGCTGAGTCAGCTGGACTGAGGGGGGTGAGGAATAAAGGAAGATTTGGGGGGAGGGTTGGGGGAAACAACTAGGGGGGAAAAACTAGGGGGGAACAACTAGGGGGGAACAACTTGGGGGGAACAACTAGGGGGGAACAACTAGGGGGGAACAACTTGGGGGGAACAACTAGGGGGGAACAACTTGGGGGGAACAACCTGGGGGGAACAACTTGGGGGGAACAACTAGGGGGGAACAACTAGGGGGGAACAACTTGGGGGGAACAACTAGGGGAGAACAACTAGGGGGGAAGGAAGAGGGAACGGAGGAACCATGAGATGCGGGGGTGGGAGGGAAGGGGGATGCCGTGAGCGTTCAGAAGAGGGAGGGGTGGGGGGAGGAGCAGCAGGGAGGGAGGGAATGAATGAATGAATGAATGAAGGAATAAATGAATGAATGAATGAATGAATGAATGAAGGGCGGCTGTGCCAGGGACCGGGCGTGGCGGGCACGCAGCCACACCTGGTGCGATGCTGGCCTCGCTCACATGCCACCGCACCGCCTCGCTGCTGCTGTCGCCTCCTCCCCCCTCCTCTCCTCCCTCTCCCTCCACTCCCCCTTCTCCCTCCACTCTTCCCTCTAACTCGTCTCCCCCTCTCTCCCCAGAACCCTCAACCCCAGCTAGCCTGGCGCCAGCCGTAATTGCCATGCCACGATTCAATGAAACACCGCCACCTGTTCTCCTTCCACATGGTGCGTCAGTGCCACGTGGAATCCTGAACAGCCGCAGACTGCCCTCACGCGCGCCTCGCCCCATCGTCACTGCGCATGCACCAGCGCCACATCCCCGTGGCGCTGCGGCTGCTGACTGTGCTCTCGCGTCAGGCAAGGCCACAGAGGCAAGTGACTCGCCAGCGATCCACGACGGGGTTGGGGGCCAGCAAATGTCCCGCCCCGCCCATCTCGCGCTCTCCGCGCTCGCCGCCTCTCCACCGCCCGCCGCGACCGACTCCACTCGAACACTGCGGGCCACCCGATCGGCCAGCCCTCGCCGCCCCCCCGCGTCCAGCAGCGCGCGCGCCTCCCACTCGCGCCACGCTCGCCGCCCATCGCCGCTGCACCACTGCGCTGCTCGCTGCGCCGCCCGCCGCGCCGAGGCGACCCCGGGGCCAACCATGCGCGCAAGTGAGCGGGACGAGAGCGGTGAGCGACAAGATCCTGCGGCGCGAATGGCGCGCTGGTAGCTCGCCGCGGACGGCCGCCGTCGCTGCGGGAGCGCGCAGGGCGTCGATCTGCCCGCCTCAAGGGGCGGCGAGGGCACTCGGCGTGACCTCCGTCACTAGGGACGTGCAACGCGGAGGAGCGGCAGGCCGCATCCTTGTCGCTGAAGGGATGCGCGCGCGCTGCCGGGGCGAGCGCAGCTGGGGGAGCGAGGTCGCATCCTACCCAAGGTCGTGGCAGCAGCGGGGAGCAGGGCTCTCACTAAGACTAGGGGTATTCCGTTCGGTCACGGAATCGTCCCTGAAAATACCCGTTAGCGGACAGAATTGCCAAAATATTGGCTGCGTTCTGCAGGCAAAAAAGGAAAGTGCAGATTACATCAGAGCACCTTCCGAAAGCGAGATTTTTTGCTTCGGATCTAGGGTCAGCCCGTAAATTTTCGCCCAAACCTGGCACAACTTACCCGAACCTAGTTACGTCGACATGCCTACAGAACAGGTCCATCTACGGATGACATCTACGTCAGGGAAACACCCTCGTCGCTTCCCTCCCTGGCAAATTTGACGCAAACTTGACGCAATGCTGACGTTCGCTTAATCGCGAAGTCCACTTTGCGTTTGGCGTTACATCAACCGCAAGGGTGTACCAGGCCTCCACACCCCAAAAATACAACCGCCACCACTTTACCCCCCCTCACGAGCTTGGGCCTGCCTTGCAAAAAAACAGCAGCTGAACAAACCCATCGGCAACACGTCATATCTCAACTGAACCTTTTTTCGTCAATTTGCCCCGGATAATTTCTCTCCTGCCCTGGGGCAACAGTTTTTTTTGGCGCAATTTTGAAATTATCTCCTCTCTCCTTTCGCTTGCGCTTTCCACAATTTGGTCGCGTGGCTTCCAAGCGAGGTTGGGAAAGTGCACCTGGTTTGGGTGGTAACCCGTGCTCTTGAAGTCGCTTGAGGAGCTTCCACAATGTCGACGTCGACGTCAACGTCAAATGCCTGTAGAAGGCTGTGTTCTGCAGGCAAAAAAGGAAGGTACCGATTACATCAGAGCATCTTCGAAAGCGCGAATTTTTGCTTCGGCTCGAGGGTCAGCCCGAAAATTTCCTTCTAAACCTTACACAATGTACCCGAACCTGGTTACATCTAGATGCCTGCAGAACGTTACATCTAGATGCCTGCAGAACGCGTCCACCTACAGATGACATCGACATCACGGAAGCACACTCCCGCGCTTCCCTCCCTGGCAAATCTGACGCAGACTTAACGCAACATTGACGTTTGCTAAATCGCAGAGTCCACCTTGCGTGCGGCGTTACATCAGCCGCACGGGTGTACTAGGCCTCCACACCCCTAAAATGCAACCGCCAAAGCTTGACCCCACCAAAAGCGAACTTGGGCCTACCCTGAGGTTGTGGGTTTGTGAGTGCATCTCCAAACCCTAGGTTATTTTTTCCGTCATTTTACCCGAGAATGTTTTTCATCTGCCCGGGGGCAGCAAGTTTTTGTTGCGCAATTGTTAAATTTGCTCCTCTCTCCTTTCGCGCGCGGATTCCACAATTCGGTCGCGTGGCTTTTGAGCGAGGCTCGGGAAGTGCACATGGTTTGGGTGGTAACCAGAGCTCGCGAAATCGCTTGAGGAGCTTCCTCGATGTCGACGTTGACGTGGACGCCAAGTGCCTGCAGAACACAGCGATTACTCGTTAGCATACGGATTTGTCGAAGAGCTAGCTACTCCTGGTTTGAAACATCCTTGAAGGCAGGCCTTGGCCAGTGCTAAGGGCTTGTTTTTATCATCCGAGAATATTGGAAACCCATCGAAACCGTTGAAGTTTCGAATAAACGGTTGCGATGGGGTTTTCAGCATTCTCGGATGACACTTTCTCAGGATGACACCTACTAGAAGCATGAAAAGGAAAAGCAATCGAAACCCCAAGGATTGTTTCTCGCAGATACTACACCTCAGGCAGTTCGAAGAGTAGGAAAACTCCCGGCAACTAACCTCGCACTTTGCGAGTGAACACCACTTGGGTGCCATAGGTCTTTACGTGGCAGCAACTGAAAACGCTTAAATAAAAACGTAGAGAGCTTGCTTGAAAAACTCTTTGTGAAAAATTGATGGTAACCGGTTTCGGCTCGAGAGCCTTCTTCAGACCACAAAGAAAAAAACAAGCTAGCTAACCTATAAATACTAATCTCGAGGACTCCCGCGAGGCATTCCTCTGCGGGGTCTCGACGAGGCAAGGGGAAAGAAAGATAAAACATACAATACAAAATCTACTATATTTCTAACACTTATGAGCAGAAATTAAAAAGTTCCCAACTCTCTTCGGCAGCCTCCAAGCGAGAATGTTTCTTCTTGAGGCGAAAATTCCGTGTGATATTGTAATGAGGTGACGTTTGAGTCGACTCAAAATGTTCCCCAGGCGCGAACGATCAACCAGAGGGTTGAGAAGAAGTTTTAGCATCAGGGGGCCACGGTTCGCAGAAGATTAAATTGCAGAGGCGCGTTGAAGAAAATCCCCACAGTTAGCAAAAGAAACCGACTTGAACACCGGTAGTAAAAACTCCTCCGGGTACCCGCGAGCTCTAAGGCGAACGAAGAAAAGTGCGCGGGAAAAAAAGAAGTCAGCTCGTGAAGAAGAGCGCAGAAGAAATCTCCGTAGCTCACTCCGGATAAAACCCAGTTTCGTAGACCGAGTATGATAAGGCTTGAATGGTAGGTAAAGGTGTCAAACATAACTTAGTTTGTTACTGTAGACTATACAAGTTTGTGCCTTATAGGGTACAACAAACTAGTCTATATTGCCTTGTACCCTCCTATTCTAGTCATTCTTCCATTCTAACATGGTATCATGAGTAGGTTAGGTCCCTCCCGCCCACCATCGCTTCCGCCCTAGGCCCTAGCTTGCCCGCCCCTAGCCGGCCCCGTGTTTGCCCCGTAGCCGGCCCCACATCCGCCCCTAGCCGGCCCCGCGTTTGCCCCATAACCGGCCCCGTGCCCGCCTCATAACCGGCCCCGCGTCCGCCCCTAGCCGGCCCCGCGTTCGTCTCGTAGCCGGCCCCGCGTCCGCCCCGTAGCCGGCCCCGCGTCCGCCCCTAGCGGCCCCGCGGCCCCGTCCCCTAGCGGCCCCTCGGCCCCGTCGACCAGCCGCCCCACGGCCCCGTTCACTAGTGGCCCCGTCCCCTAGCGGCCCCTCGGCCCCGTCAACCAGCAGCCCCGCGGCCATGTTCCCTCGCGGCCCCGTCCCCTAGTGGCCCCGTCCCCTAGCGGCCCCGTGGCCTTGTCACCTAGCGGCCCCTCGGCCCCGTCGACCAGCGGCCCCATGGCCCCGTCCCCTCGGCCCCGTCGACCGGCCGCCCCGCGGCCCTGTTCCCTCGCGGCCCCGTCCCCTAGTGGCCCTGTCCCCTAGCGGCCCCGTGGCCCCGTCCCCAAGCGGCCCCTCGGCCCCGTCCCCAAGCGGCCCCTCGGCCCCGTCGACCAGCCGCCCCGCGGCCCCGTTCCCTAGTGGCCCAGTACCCTAACGGCCCCTCGGCCCCGTCGACCAGCGGCCCAGCGGCCCCGTCCCCTAGCGGCCCCTCGGCCCCGTCGACCAGCTGCCCCGCGGCCCTGTTCCCTCGCGGCCCCGTCCCCTAGTGGCCCCGTTCCCTAGAGGCCCAGCGGCCTTGCGCCCGTCCGTTCCCCGACCCCGCGCCCGTCCGTCTCCGGCCCCCGCGCGCGTCCGTCGCCGGCCCCCGTGCCTGTCCGTTTGCCGGCCCCGCACCCGTCCGTTTGCCGGCCCTGCGCCCGCCCCGTCCCCGGCCCGCGCGACTGCGCTGCATCCGACTACGCTGCACCGCACTGTACCTCATTGCACCTCTCTGCACCGCACTGTACCGCACTGTACCGCACTGCACCGCACCACATTGCACTACACTGTACCGCACTACATCCACTGCACCGCAGCTGCATCGCTCCTGATGGCGGACTCTGTCCTGCGGTTTGACGCGGAGGGTCAGCCGATTGAGTTCGACACGTGGCTCGTCGACCTCTGCCGTCACCTCACAGGTCAGCGGCAGGACGGCCACTCCTTGGCCGTCCACCTTGATGGTACAGTCCTTTGTCCTGACCCCCTCGCTCCGCTGCCTGCTGACCCCACGTTTGCTGATCGAGAGTCCGCTGCTGCTGCTGCTGCCCTTGCCTGCTCGGTCTGGTTGTCGCGTGACGCTGTTGCACAGCTTGCCATTAGTCATGCGCTTCCCCTGTCTGAGCGCCCCCGCTTTAGGTCTATTAGGAATGCACAGGAGTTCCTCGATGCTGTCATTACTCGCTATTCCACCCCGTCCTCTGCCTCCGTAGGCCGCCTGATCTTGCCCCTGCTTTTCCCTTATCTCGCGTCTTTCCCCACTGTCGCTGACCTAGCCGCCCACTTGCGCACGCTAGACTCGACTTGGCGCTCGGCCTGCACTGAGGCCCAGCTCCGCGTGTCTCAGCCCCCTTTCCCGCATGCCCTCTACCTGCTTGCCACCCGCCTCCCTGACCGCCTTGCCACTGCCCGCGATCACTTTCTCAGTGCCCACCCAGCAGACCTCACCCTCACTGAATTTGTTGACACCCTGTCTGCCATAGAGACCCGCTAGCGCTCTATCGTTCAGTCCAGCGGTACGGTGCCGGTCTCTATCTTTCAGGGCTGTGCGCCCGCTCAGTGCACTTTCTCTAACGGCTTTGCTGCAGTGGCTGAGATGGCTGCTGCAGTACAGGCTCGTCCTGGAAAGGGCCGCCGCTCCAAGGCTGGGCGTGGTGGTGGGGATGGTTGGGGTGGAGGCGGTAGAGGAGCCGGGTCGTCTCCTGGGGGTGCTGACAAGGGCCCTGGGCCTAGCACCACCGAGCAGCAGCAGGTTCCCCCGTGCGACCAGCACACGTCACAGCAGCAGCCACAGCAGCCACAGCAGCAGCAGCAGCAGCAACAGCAGCCGCAGCACTAGCAGCAGCAGCAGCAGCAGCAGCAGCAGCAGCAACAGCAGCCGTTGCGACGGGTTGGTCGTCTCCCGCCTGGGTGGCCCGGCGCTAGTGGTGGTGGCGGTCGCGGTGCTCGTGCACGCGGCGTGCAACTGGTGGTGGTGCGGACGACGGGTGCTGCCAGTACCAGCTTCAGACCGGTCCTCGCCGTGGCCTCGTGTGCGGTAAGACCAGTCACACCACCACTCGCTGTTTCAGTCGCCTTGACGACCTGTTTCGTCTTCGCTTCGGCTCGACGCCCGGCCTCCCCGACTGGCTCAGCTTGCTTCGTAGGGGTGTTCAGGTCTTTGATATGGACATAGATGAGATTAGCTCAGCGCTTTATGTTCTGTATGTCGATGACTCTAGTGTGATTGGTTCTGCTTACCCCGTGTTACCTTGTGTAGGAATGCCTAGCTTAGACTCCCCAGTTGCGTCAGGCGTAGGATCTCCTGCTTTGTTTAGTCTAGGCTCCTCCGTCGCGTCCTCGACCCCTCCCGCCTCTGCTGCACTTTCCTTCACCCTGGACTCTGGTGCTTCCCGGTGCTTCTTCTGGGACTCCACTACTCTCATGCCGCAGTTTCCCTGGCTGACCCTTCCTCAGGCCCGGTCGTAGCTCATAGCTCCACCACCCTTCCTTGTCCGGCGGCTCCTTCGGGCTCCCTTACAGGCCTGCGCATCCCCTCGTTCTCTAGGAACCTAGTTGGTGTCGGCTGCCTCCAGGACCTTGGCGTCACCACTATGTTCCCTGGTCACAAGCGGTACGCTGTCTGTACCGAGGCTGCCACTGGTGCTCCCCTCACCACGTTCCCCCGGGACCCGGTGTCTGGCCTGTTCACGCTGGCCACCGCGCCCCCCCCAGGTGGGGCGTCTCACCAGGTGCCCGTGTCTCTTCAGTAGCTGCGGCTTGCTCGTGTCGGGCTCTTACTCACCCGACACTCCTGTGGCACCACTGACTAGGTCACCCTGCCCTCCCTCGTCTTCGTCACATGTCGCAGCATGGTCTTGTCTTAGGTCTTCCTGGGTCGTTCCCCGAGCTCCCCTCCTCACCTGCGCCGCCGTGCACCCTCTGCGTCGAGGGCCGGCTCCACCGTGCCCCTCACTCCTCATCGTTCCCCCCCACCACCGCACCGCACCCTTGCAGACCTTGCACATGGACGTCTGGGGCCCCGCCCCCGTCCATGGGCCGCGTCGTGAGCGTTACTTCTTCGTCCTTGTTGACGACTACACGTGTTACACCACTGTGTTTCCCTTGGAGCTGAAGGCCGACGTGCCTGACGTTCTTATCCCGTGGCTTGTCTCTGCGCGTGTTCACCGCGGTCTCCCTGTCTTGCGTCTTCACTCCGACCGTGGTGGCGAGTTGCCTCTGGCTGCCTTGGTCGCTTCTATCATGCGGAGGGCATCACCCAGACGTTCACCCTGCCGGACTCCCCGCAGCAGAATGGGGTCGCTGAACGACGCATCGCTTTGGTCATGAAGGTGGCTTGTATCTCCATGATCCATGTCGGTGCACCCCATTTTCTGTGGCCGTTCGTCGTTCGCTACGCCGCTCACCAGCTTATCCTATGGCCACACCCTCAGCGGCCGCAGGTTTCGCTGACCCTCCTCTGGACAGAGTCTCCTGGTGACGCGACTGCATTCCACGTCTGGGGCTGCCTTGCCCACGTTTGTGCCTCTGGCACGGACAAGCTCACTGCTCGCACACTCCCCTATGTCTTCCTAGGTTTCCCCCTCGACTCGTCTGACTGGCACTTCTACCACCCCCTGTCCCACCTTTTCTTTCACTCTCACGACATCACCTTTGACGAGTCTGTCTCCTTCTACCACCGCTTTCCCCACCGGGGTCCCCCGGCTACTCCCCCCCTGTTCCTGGTCCCTCCTTCCCAAGTCGCCCCTGCCCCCCCTCCTCCCCGTCCTGCCCCGTCTGGTGTGCCTCACGTTACCCCCCTTCTGTCGGTTGTCCCGGTTGAGGAGTCTGCTGACTCTGGTGGCCCTACTTCGCAGCCGCAGCCGCCGTCGCAGCCGCAGCCGTCGTCGCCGCCGCTGCAGCGGCCGCCACCGTCGTCGCCGCCGCTAAAGCGGCCGTCACCTTTGTCGCCGCCGCGGCAGCAGTTCGTGCCTTCTGGGGGTGGTGGCGTTGAGGAGGGTGTCTCGTCCTCCTCTCCTGTCGTCGCCTCCTCCGTCCTCTCTTGTTGTTGCGCCTCCCTCTCTGTCTGACTACCTTCGTGCCGCTCGTCCTCTTGTTCCTCGGGTCCTTGCCTCCCTCGTTACCGACCCGTCTGTTCCTGTTTCGCGTCTTGACGCTCTTGTCGCTGCAGTCGCTGACTTCGCCTCTACCCGCCGCCTTGACTATGCCACCGCTCTGGTCTCTGACCCTGCCTGTCCTCCGTCCGACGGGGGTGCTCCTGCCTTCGCCAGTGACGTTTTGGAGGATCGGCAGTACGAGCTTGCTTTCCTGTCTGAGGCTGCTCCCCATCTCTGCTCCATGCTGCTAGTCCCTGAGGGTGACCCAGATGCTTCCAACATCCCGACCCCTCGCACTTACGCTGAGGCCACCTCGGGACCCTGGGCCTCTTAGTGGATAACTGCCATGGAGCAAGAGATGGCATCTTGGAGATCCACCGGCACCTACGTCGACGTAGTTCCCCCACCTAGGGTGAACGTAGTTGATGGCCGCAGGCTTTTCAAGGTGAAGCGCCCCCCTGGAGAGCCGCCTGTGTTCAAGGCGCGCTACGTGGCTAGAGGCTTCAGTCAGCGTGAGGGGGTGGACTTCTTTCAGACCTTCGCTCCGACCCCGAAGATGACTACTCTTCGGGTTCTACTACACGTAGCAGCATAGCGTGACAACGAGTTACACTCCCTCGACTTCTCCACTGCGTTTCTTCAGGGCAGCCTACACATGCAGGTCTACCTGCCCCGCCCCCAGGGCTTTACTGGTACCTTCCCTCCTGGGACCCAGTGGCTCCTGCGGCGCCCAGTCTACGGCCTGCGACAAGCACCCCGTGAGTGGCACGACACGCTGCGTGCTACCCTAGCTGACATGCAGTTCTTCCCATCCTCTGCCGACCCCTCACTCTTCGTTCGTGCTAGCCAGACCACGTTCTACATCCTTGTTTGCGTAGAGGACCTGGTCTTCGCTACTGCAGATAGGAACGCACTGGCCTTCGTGAAGTCATAGCTGCTGAAGAGACACACCTGCACTGACCTAGGAGAACTGCGCCACTACCTTGGCTTGCAGATCTCCAGGGACAGAGCAGCGCGCACCATCACACTATCACAGTCACACTTGGTGCACCAGGTCCTTCAGCGGTTCGGTCTTCAGTTTTCCTCTGCACAGCCCACACCTCTGCCGGTGAACCACAAGCTCTCAGCTCCTGTGCCTGAGGAGTCAGCAGAGCCCAGTGGTCCGTACACAAAGCTGGTGGGTTGTCTCATGTACCTGATGACTGCATGCTTCTCAGGAGAAAACTGCCTCTTGGGGCCCGTCTGCTTCGGCTTCTTCTAATCGTGCTTGTTGTTGTTGCCATGCTTTCGGAACTTAAGATCAGCGACGCTGCTCTTTTTGACAGAAACCCCGTTCTTGCGCTTATGAGTATTCATCTTTTTGGCACCGTGCTGGTTCTCATTGTTGCCAACAGTTGTCCAATTAGAACGCTGATTCATAATCTTTGCCCCTTCCTAGTGGGTAATCTCGCGAACAGAGGTATCCACCGGGAGGGTTTCTGCTTCGACAGTCGTAGCTGCCTTCTTTGAGTCCAGATCCTCCTTTTTTTGCTTCAACACTGTTTCAGCCATATTAGTATCCAAGTAGAACATCGAAATCGAATTCTGATACTCCAGAATCACGCGACCCTTGAAAAAATCCAAGTTGTCGAAAAGCTGAGGATGCTTGATTCCGAGGTCCGTCTTCTTGTTAAGATTGATAAAATGGTCGATGTTGTTCTGCAATGACTGAAGAACAGCAGTAGCCTCGCCATAAGCTTGGTCAGCAGCCTTTTTCTTCATCGTAATCCGAATTTATTGAGCATTCTGACAATACTTCAGTCGAGCGGCTTCAAGGTCCTTGTCGGCTTCGAGGCAAAGATCTTCGATATTGCAGACAAAAGCGAACGGCTTGATTCGAATGGAATGCGGAATAATGCCATTTTTCTTCTGATCCGTCATGAAAGCATGCTACTGCATCAGGGTCCGATACTTAAGAAAATGCTTCTTGAAATCAGAAACAGCCTGATTCTTGAGAGCATTAAACCAGGGCCCAATATATCCGGGTAAAATGCCCTGATTACTCTGATTTTCAGGGTATTTTTTCGAGCTAGGCTGATTTTTCAGGGTTTGCGATTTTATAACCCTGATTCAAAAAGTGTAGCAATTTTTTTACCCTTCGAAAACCAGGGTTTGCGACCCTCCAGCCCTGATAAAGCAGGGCAGCAAGGTAACTACCCTTAATGCGCTGTCTGGCCAGCCAAAATCAGCGCCAGATGCGTGCTGGAGACTGTGTGGGCGCTAAATGGCCCTTAGATTCGGTGGCCTGGCATCCCGCAAAAATCACACGTGTAGTTGGTGTTTTTCGGACGTGGCCGCCCGTCGAATCTGTCGATCTCCATCGGGTCGGCGAACGTGGGGTGAGCCGAGCGGTCGCCTTGTCGCGTACTGCCGACGTGCGTCCGTCGTGTTCCGGCGTTGACCATGTCGAAGCGCTCCGCGGCCGAAACGACGTCACTGTAGCTCGCGTAGTTTGACGCTGCCACCTGTCGTTTGACTTCGGTCTTCAGCCCTGCGAGGTATGATTGCTCTTTTTCCCCTTCGGTTAGGTCGCGAATTCGGTTATAGAATTCTTCCCTCTGCTGCGTGTATTGTGCTACACTCCCGAACTGTCGATGGCGATGAATTTTTTCGCGGGCAAGGAAACCTGAATTTATCGGCTCGAATCGTTTGAGCAGGTCGGCGCGGAACTGCTGCCACGTGGCTTCACCGTGGATGAAGGTGCTGTTGCCGCCAATCCACTCGAGTGCCGGCCCTCGCATCAGTGTCGCCGCGA